ACACTAGAGAAAAATGTATATCAAAGCGCTAAAGGTGTAACAAATAAGAAACTTAGTATAACCAAGTGATATAATGAAATTTTAGGTTTAGGGGGTCTAGCCCTAAAACAAGTGATATCTTACATAGAATCATAAAAAATACATATAAATAAAAATAAAGTTAATAATACAATAGTGCTATGGAGGGATACATGCCCGTGCCACATTGATGACATGCTTGAGGAGAGATCGGGTGTAGGAGCGGGTCGGAAAGGAGTTATGATGAAGAAGGAAGAAGGCTGGGTCCTGGGGCACCTGGTGTACCGTGAATCTCTGGGCCAAGGTCCGTACCTGGTCCCAGAATTGCCTGAGAGCCGGGCAGGACCAGAAAATGTGAAGCATGTCTGCCGATGGTTGCTGGCAACGCCAACAGAGGTCGGGAGTGTCTGGGAAGAGCGAGTGAAGTGTTTGCGGGGTGCGGTACCATCTGGACACTATCTTGTAACCAGATTCTTGGTACCTGTTACTGGGCCGTTTCTATTGTGAATGAGGCCTTATGGGGTATAGCTGAGAGAAATACATGTTGTTTGGTGATTTCGTAGTTCCAGGTTGTCACATCTGTGTAATATTGTATAATAATAGCAGTTTGTTGCCACAACAGGCTATTTTATTTCTTTGTATTTTATTAATGTCAGTGCTGAAATGTCTAAACCTGTGGAGTGGCACTCTCATATTCCCTACACTCTTTTTTTTATTCATCCGAGCAGCCTTTGAGGTCCCTCTGTGTTAGAGGGTCATTGTACTTTCCAGTTTGAACTTTTTTTCACGCTGAGAAACAAAATCAGCGCTTCCCTCCCACACCTTCTAGAAATAAAAACAGAAATGTAATCTCTTCACCACTCAATGTAGGTTGGAGTTAGGGTTTAAAGCGGAACTCCAAGGAGAGATAAAAGACTCAATATAATGCATAATAATAATTAATAATAATTAGTACATTATTCATTGAATTTTCTATGGCAAATCTAAAGGCAAAACATTTTTTTTAGATGGCCCTGCACGCATTCTAATGTAGACCTGTGTTGGTTGTGCTTACGTATGAAACACAATTGCATTGCACATGTTGGGTATCACAACCTGCGCCAGAGTAAGAGCAATAATTCTATGTGTTCATGGTTAACTCTAAACTGATAACCTGCACAGTCTTTTAAAGCATTGCCTACGGACAATTTGGGGTACTGTATTTTGTTGCCATTTCACGCAATTTTTAAGCTTGGCATGCTGGGTATCTATTTACTCAGCACAACCTCATCTTTTATATTTTACAAAACAATTGGGTATTATATTGTGTTATTGTGCTCTGAAATTAACTTAGGTGTAATTTTTACTGAAATGTGGGGTTTGATGAAGAGTTCCGCTATTATCTTTTGACATAAAAAATTACAACTGCCGCCATTTTATTTTACAGTATCTGTGCTTTCAGGAAATGTATAACTCTTTGGGGTTTTAAGTAATGTTCAGGCTTAAATATGGATTATTACTTGTGCAAAATTACTTGGCAGCGAAAGGGTTGATCTAAAATTCTGAAGAGGGCTCTTTACAGAGTAGCAAAAAATTGTACCTCCATTCCCCAAGTAGTGGTAACAGCTGAGGGCATTGGCAAATTCAGAAAACTTGTAGAAGTCTTCCTCAATGGGAACAACATACATATACTCTTAAGGTCCCCATACGCCTTACAATTATCTGACGTTATTTGGCCAGGATCGCATTTTCGTCAGAACATCTGCCAGTTGATGGGAAGTGCACAACCACAATTGCTGTACAACTGGCAGAATTTTGTCTTTCAAGCAGGCTCCAAAATTCTCGTCTAATTGGACAAAAATCTAAAGATTAGTGGCGTTTTCGTACAACAAAAATCTCAAGATGAAAACTGCACATGCTCAAACGAAAATTTGGTCTTTCGATCGACGAAAATCGGCCAGTTAGTGGTGCGGATGAACAATAATTGCAAACTACATTGGTCTGTGCACGATGGGGTATTTGAACGAAAATTGAACGAGGGTGCTATGTTGGGACAAAAAAAAGTTGTACAATAGTTGTAAGGTGTATGGCCACTTTTAGAATAGTAACTTAATGTGACACACATGTTTTTTTCAACCTTACCTACTGTGTATGTAAATAAATTTGAGCTGGTATCAGCCTCCAGTAGTCCATGTACTGAATAGACTGGGACATGAAGAAGCAGATGAAGAAGAATTTGTGCTGCAGTGCTCATGTGCTAACAATGGGCATGCTGATAGGCGAGATCAGAGTGACAAGACCTGTAATTGTTACGTTACCTGCAGCTGAGAAAGCCTGGGTCCTTCTCCTCTTCAGGGCTGTGCTGTGTTAATCTCAGCACGGAATTCATAGAAATATAAATCCATTGTAAGGTTAAACAGCTCCATTATATATATTCCATCTGTGTAGTTCGCTTCTAATGGAGCATCCAGTATATATATTTCATTTTGAATTTTACAACTTTTTAGAAAGCAATGTGAGCTTGAAGTTAATTCTTCAGCCAAATAACATTCTTGTTTTTAGATACTCAGTATTATTTTGGAAAGAATTAGTCACAGTTGCCTTTTAATTTGCAGTGCCCCCAACAATATACGGGGCCGGGTCTGTCCAAGATTTGACGGCACGAGAGGGGACAGAAGTGGTGCTACAGTGCAGAGTGTCTGGGCTGCCCAAACCTCAGGTGGAATGGACCAAAGATGGACAGTAAGTAAGAAAACCTTATAAATTGCTGCCAATGGCCAAATCCACATCACAAATGTTTACACTGTGGATTGGTCCATTATTTATCAGGGTTATTATTATTGTTGTTTTCTGTGTTATGCATTATAGGCTCTTTATTGAAAAGGAAAGGTGCTTTACTAGAAGTATTTAGGTACAGCCATATTACATATCACCTAGACCAAAGACTCAAAGGTTTAAGTTCACTTTGAGAACTTGCTTTAGCTTATATTTGTGTGTGTGTGTGTGTGTGTGTGTGTGTGTGTGTGTGTGTGTGTGTGTGTGTATATATATATATATACTGCATATCAGAAATACCTAAAAGCTGCTCCTTGCGGTTGGACGCTACTCATCTGCCTGAAAGCTGGAATGAGTCCTGCTCTGTTGACATGGGAGAGTGCTGTAGCCATCACCGATGTATAGAGGGCAGGAAGAAGGCGGGGAAGTGGCACACAGACTGCAAAATTGCAGACCCCCTTATCCTGTGCAGTCATATAACACAGCAGGAGCAGATCACACCAAAAATGTAAAAATCTTTTGGCAGTTAAACAATCCTTTTAGATTTCAGATTCTGCATTGTTTCAGCTGTTTATTTGGTTGTGCTTGCCTTTTTAGTCAATACTCGGTTGCATTCTGTTTAACGTGCTCCAGCACTAGGAGTTAGCATGCATCAGCTGTCAGTTTGCAGACATCCCCCGTACACTGTCATGAGCCACATCTGTGTGCATTTATCATCTGCTTCCCAGGGAAAGTGCTTCTCCTGCTTTCAAGTTGACTGTTCTCACTCAGCAAGGTGTCATTAAGGAGGTGGGGGAGACATGCTGTGTGTCTATTATCCCCTCATATCCTGTACACACTAACACATGGCAGGTGTGCTGGACATATGTTACTGCAGGGGCCCATTGAAAGAGCTGGAGGTAGGGTTTTGTACCATAGTAAGCAGTCAGACGTAAAGTGTACCTGTACTCACATTTCAGTCAACTTGCAGAAAATATGCTTGAGTACACTGCATTTTTTTTACACCTCTATCTACTCCCATGGTGTGCTAACCTTCAGTCTTTTAGGTCTCATGCACACGAGCAAAGGCCGGCACGTACAGCTCCGTGCTGCGCGCACGTCCGTATCGGCAGCTCCCGGGAAGGACAGGTGCTGCGTGTGATTAGTACGCATAAGCGGCCCTACGCTCACCCCAAGTGCAGGTCCGTACGGGTGCGGGTGTCCCGGCTCGGATGCAGACAGGATCCATCCTGTCAGCGCACGAGTATGGACACCCGCACCTGCGGTCCGGTGCGATCAAAATAGTGCTTGCAGCATTTCGGACCGCAGGCATAACGTGCCTTGTGATCCCGTGCGGGCGATCGCATTGCGGCCGGAGGGCTTGGTTAGGGTGCCATTCACTTCAATGGCCCACCACGCCCCCTCCTGCCCCACAAAAAAAGTGAGCCAGCTGCAATGTGAGGCAGTGCGTTCTGGCCAGAATCGGATCGGCAACCAATCAGCTTCTGTCTTCAGTTTGTTCAGTTGAGATTTGAAAATGAAAGAGAGAAGCTGATTGGTTGCCATGCACAGCTGCTCCAGATTCTTAATCCAGTTTTAATAAATTCCCCTCGATGGGTTTCAACCGTTCCATACTGTATCCAAAACCCAAAAAAACCCATTTGGCTTTAAATATACTCTAACAGCGTCCAGAAGCTAAAGGAAAATCCATGCAATAATTTTAATGTATTGACTTTTACCTACCAAATATCATTAACAGGAATTTGGTAAATTCATCTGATCCCTGAGATTATTCTTTGAGCCGAAAATTATTTTTGAATCATAAAAAGGACAAGACCGCCTGCGTTCTGCTTTGTGGATTGAGCCTGATGGGTCCCCGGATGAGTGCGGCACACCTGTGAGCTCCGGCAGCTGCTGCACTCTGCTCAGTATAGGGAATAATGGGGGGGCCGGGGACCCTCCCTAGAAACAGCAACGTGAAGTCATAACAGGGGCTCTCCGCAGGCTCTTCTGGCGCACACATATCAATAATGGGAACAATACTAAGCAACACAGGACCTAGTCTGTATCGCAGCTTAGAAGAGCGCTGTGCTAACAATACATTTTCTTTTGGCATAACAATAGGAATTTTAAATTAGTGGTTCTCATACAGGGAGACCGATCATCCAAACTAGAGAGGCCCTGACATCAGCACCTCTCTCTGATTTTTAGGGAGTTGTAAAATCCCAGCATATACTGTACAATCCTGTTATAGCATCAGCATTGTAATAGTGCTTTTCTGACTCTGATTGTTGTATTAGCGATTTATCCCTTGCTGAGACCTCTATGCCTGCCCTATATAAGCAGATATAATCACATCGGACAATCCTTATCAGATAGCTGAATTCACCTGTAGCTCGCGGTTTACTGAGCTTTGGGTAACGGGAGGACGCTAGTTTGCGCCCTCCCGTGACCCTTAGGAGAACTATGGGGAAAACTCCTTACCCCATAGTTCTCCTTTAAGGAAAATTAGCTATATACATTGTCAATTCGCATTTTTTTGAACACCAACTATGACTAGGAATTGTGTGATATTTTTACAACCTCGCTAAAGCACAAGTGCTGCCTTCAAGCACCAACTTCCTGGATTCCCAGTGTGATTTGCATCTCTTACCCTGCTGCTTGATGTGATGCAATCTCCATTATCAAGACTTCATATCCCATCATGCATTGCTTCAAGTAGATGTATCATATACAGCTGCCATTTTTTAATGTCAAATGTTTGTCAACTTTTTCTACCCTTTCTTGCATCAGTCTTGATGATCTTCTGCAGCCTCTTTGCAGCCTGTCTACATGCACAGTGGTTGTACGCAGGGCTACCCATAGGGAGGTACAGGCAGCCCTCCTGTACCGGGCTGGGCCCCTATAAGGACAACAGGGGGGGCCAGCAGGGGAACCCCACACTGCTTCACCCAATGAGAACTTGTGATGCCTGCGCAGCTTGTCAAGTACAAGTGATCTGGGTGGTTGTACAGCCACCCAGATCACATGTACTAGCCTGTAATTGCCCCCCCCCCCCCGCTTGCCTGGTTTTCGGGGGCCCCCGCTCCTCTGGGAAGCTCAGGACCAAGGCAAATGCGGTCAGGATGGAGAGAGTGGGCACAGATCAAGGAACTTCAGTTCCCGAATCTTCTTTGTGATCAACGAAGTAGTAAACGCTGTGCTTGTTTGTCTGTATTGGAGGGCAGGAGAGACATCAGGAGTCTGATAGACCTCTGATGTCCCCATATAGAGAAACTGTCGCCTCCACATGCTACTACATAGGGGCTTGTTGCCCCCTTGTGAAAGCAAAAGTTAAGTGAAAAACTAACATTTTTGAACATGTGCGCGTAGGGCATGCCTGTGTATGTAATTGGGGAGGGGGAGCCTGCCAGGTAGACTGTATGGGGCCATATGGTGCCTTATAGTGGCCCTGGCTGCATGGCATTTCTCAGGAGAGATTTCCTGATGGTGACAACAGTGGACCATGCCTGTGTGTGTAATATGTGTTGAAATGGCCACTTATAGTCTCTAGAAGAAGTCTGGGGGACAAGGTAACAACACACGGGCACAACTGAGTGACAGGGACAGAACATTGCCACCCATCAAAAGTAAGTGTCTGACTTTTTACCTGAGATGAACATAATATATCTTGTATGCCATTTGTAACAAGCCTGTGAGTAGGAAAATGTCTCTGGACACAGTCACAACATAAAATATGAGCGTGTGAGGTAATGTACGTTGCCCTGATTAAACATGCTTTTATTGGTGAAGGGAGAACGAATATGTACCCTGGTGCTGGCCTTATCTTGAACGGCCAGTGAACAAAAATAACAATTGCCTTGGGAAAGCTATCTAGTTCTTTGAGCAAGAGAGGGCTAATGGTTTTCCTGACAGCCAAACGGAGTGTCAGGCAAGAGAAAAGAAGATGCGTGTATGTGCAACTTCAATGTTTTTGTAGAAATATTTGTAAATATGGGGTGATAAGACTGATAATGTCTGTTAAGGTTCTCATTCATCCAGATCATGGTACAGCAGTTCTGTAAAGACATTTCTGCATTTCTCCAAGCCACGTCTCCAGTTCTAACTGAAAAAGAGCTACAAAACGTCTTCACAGGGGTGTCCCTGGTCTTTTTGCCACCTGAGGCAGTGGGGTGGGTGCAGGGGGTGCACCCAAATGGGGGGGCGAATGAAGGGCATTGGGGGATGCCGCTTACAGCTAAGAGTCTGGTGGGAGGATGTGTAAGGGTCATACATCTCCTCGCCCAGCTTTTAGTAACCTGGGACACTCCTCCTGTGGTCCCACCGACTTCCTGGCAACCAGTGTCATCACTGGTTCACACCTCGACAAGATGAGGAAATGTGTATGGCCCTTAAACATTTCCCCGTCTGGCTCTTAGCAACCTGGGACACTCTGGCCAGAAAGGGGGGCGGCCACTGACAACTACTAGTTAAGACGGCCTATAAACACTATTTTATAAAAAGCATTAAAATGCCTTTAATTGGAACTATTGACCCCTATTTTTTCTTTTTTTGCTTGCTGCAGGCCTCTGACACCTGGGGATTCGAGCGTTCAGCTCGTAGAAGATGGACAGGTACTCCGGCTGAACAGGACAAAGCTCTCACACCAGGGTAGATACCAATGCCTAGCGTTTAACCACGCTGGGCAACAAGTCAAAGACTTCAACCTGAAGATACTCAGTAAGTTTCCCGGAATACAAGAACTGATTCATGTCTGGTGTAAAAGGGCAAAGTAAAACTGATGGGTAGAAAGCAGAGGTCTATAGACTGTTGGCACATTTATATAGCAGGAGATCATTTCAGTATGTCACAGTGTTAATCTCCCACCTAGTGGATACTCTGTGAATTACATTCGTGTAGAATATGCCCCAGGACAGGAATAGGCAACTTTGTCAGCTTTGAAAATGGTAGCATTCTCAGTTTAAAAGCGTATGTCAGGGCATCATTAATAAATAAATAAATTATATATAATTTATATAGATATATATAGATATATATCTATCTATCTAGATAGATAGATAGATAGATATATCACAGTACCACTCTGCAGTATAAATATCTGTTGATGTCCCAGAAATGCCAGTTGTGTCAACTAATTAAGCCCTCCCCTATCCTATCATCCACAACATAGCCACTAATTATTTTAGAGCCGAAGATAAGAAATAGGATGGGTAGGCGCCTTTAGATAACACTGAACATGTGAACAGGACAGCTCTGAATTTCTTACAGGTTCCACAGGTGTTTTTTTCTCTTATAACAGAGATAACAAAATGTTTTTAATGGTATACTGTATATAACACGCCAAAAGGGAGCCAATAAGGAAAGTTCATTGTTGGGATTTATGTACACTCTAAAATAAAAATGTAATTACATTTTTTTATAACACAAAATTACAAAGCGGTTTGTATACCAGTTATATGTGTGGCATATTCATTTTCCTTTGGAATTACATTTATTTGGGGAAAATAATAATACAACAGGCTTGAGCAGATAAACTGACATTAATGAAAGTATCTGCATTTTGTCAATAGACCCGAAAAAGTTATAGCACATTGTTAATTTGCTTTTATATACTACAGAAATATGGTTTATTGTTAAAAAAGAAACACAAATTCAGTTATTTTAATGCATGTGCGTGTCTAATTTACACATAAATCTTGTCCAAATTATTAATTTCCTTTTCTAACTATAGCACCGCCCACTGTCTGGTCGTCCAATGAGACAACAACGGTGGCCTCTCTGCTGCATGGCTCAGTGGAACTTAGATGTGATGCCAAGGGGTCACCGCCTCCCAGTATTACATGGTTTAAGGATAAACGGCCTATCGTGTCCAGCTCCAGAGCCTCCTACAGGGACAGTGGAAGGAGCTTGCAGTTGAGCCGGGTGCAGCTCTCTGATGCTGGCACATATACCTGCAGAGCCACGAACCATGCCGGCACTGTTGAAAAAACGTACCTGCTGGAGATTTATGGTAGGTTTTCGGTACTGGCCTTGGTGGCATTACTGACCAGGGCTCATATACATATGCAGTAATTGAAATACTAAGTGACGCTAAACTCAGGAGTTAAATCTTAGAAATGCATTCAAATACCTTACCTATTAATAATACTGTATGAGCTGTAGATCCTCAAATCATTTCTGAATTGGTGCTGACACTGTCCTTTCTTCTGGAGGGTGGCTACTTGTGTTCCCCATGGTCCCTGTGTATGTTGTAAAGTAGCCAAAGCTCCAAGCTTGCTCCTGTGATGGATTACAATCTCATGTTTACTTTACTAATTTGTACTGAGATTGTAGTCCATCACGGGAGTGAGCTTGGAGTGGTGGCTACTTTACAACACACACAGGGACCATGGGGAACAAAAGTAACCACCCTCCAGAAGGAAGGACAGTGGCAGCACCAATTCAGAGATTTGAGGATATGCAGCCCAGTGATACACAAATAAGATACATTTTTTGTTAATAGTTAAGGTACTTGAATGCATTTTAACCACCTCCCATCCGCCGAATGTAGAGAAACCTTTAAACGTCCCTCGTGCCTCCGCCCCCTGGTGAGCACGAGTGGGAAACTGCCAAAATTTACATTACTGTTTACATAAAAGCGATCCAGCGTCTGTAAAGATGCCCGAATGCTTGTGTGAGGTACCTTTCTGTGCGCCAGATCTCTGCTTCATCAGCTTCTTTGGGGGTCCCTAGGTGACATTAGGGGTCTTAGAGACCCTTGATGTCTCCATAAAGAGGACCTGTCACTGTAATTTGATATCACATAGTGGGCTACTTAGTTAAGTGTAAAAAAAAAAAAAAAAATTGGTCACAAAAAAAATTATTTTTACACATACACAATATTTTTTTTAAAGTCCCCATACCCCAACATAGACACGAAAAAATACGACAGGTGCAATGAGCAAAAACGGCGAATACGTCGCACATATTACATATCATCGTGAACGTCGGAGTGTGAGCAATAATTTTAGGGCCATCAATCACTATTAACACTAAATTGATGAGCGGTAAAAGCTTTTAAAGAGTCGCCTATGGCCAATTTTGGGTGTGATAGTTTTTTGCGATTTCGTGGTCGTGCTTGACATGTTTGGTGTCTATTTACCCGACGTGACCCCGTCTTTTATATTTTAACAAAAAATTGGGTAATAATAAATGTTTCCTAACATAATAAAGGGAAAACAGTTTTTTTTTTTTAATTTTATGTACTTTTTTTGTTATATAGTAAAAAATAAAAACCCCAGTGGTGATTAAATACCACCAAAAGAAAGCTCTATGTGTCCCAAAAAAATGTATAAAACGAATTTCAGTACAGCCTCGCATGACGGAATAAATGTCAGTCAAAGTACCGCAGCACTGAATACTGAAAAATGGCCTGGCCAGGAAGGGGTTGTAAACACCGCGGGCAGCAAGTGGTTAAAGATTTAACTTCCTGAGTTTAGTGTCACTTTAAGAGTATCTGTTCTGGTAGAACTAATGTAGCCAGAAACTGATTGACCTGCACTTCTATACCTTCTATGCTTGTAGATTAAAGGACAAGGAAAAAACTCTTCCTCACTATATCCAAAACTATAAAACAGTTTGTACATCCAGATAAAAACAGCCAGCAGCACAATGTGATGTCCAAATGCTTGTAAAACCTTATTATTATAGGACACACATCACAAAGCCTCACCTAGGACCTCCTCTGACACATTTTACCCAACTCTGGGCTTTATTATAGATTGGCTTAATCCCCCCTGTGGGTGAAATGCGTCAAGGGAGGAGGTCTCAGGTTGGGCTTCATGAAGCACTGGACTTTATATTGTGCTGACAGCTGCTTTTCTATGGATGTCATGACAATTTGACATGAGGATGAGCTCCTGCTTGGCGTCTGCACTTGGTCAGCCGAGAACAGATTCACTCTACAGTACTTAGGCATTAACGGGAAACTTTTACTTGTTTTTAAAACTATTTAGCTTGCATTGGGTTTTTACATGACCCTGGGATCAGACACCCCAATTCCCAATCTGCTGTCCTTCTTCTCTGTAGTTCTATATAACAAATATACATATATATATATCTATATATATGTC